TATGATTCTGTGATAAACAACAACAACCCTCATTCGTTGACAGCTAACTGTGAAGTTTTGTTTTTTTAAAGGTCTGGGCCTGACATCTGTTATTGAACAACCATATATGATGGCACACATATTTGTCTTGAAACAGGAACAGAAGTTGGATGACAAGAGGCTATAAAAAGAAAGTTGGAAATAGGAAGAGTTGTGAATCCAAATAACAGCAGCTGCAACTTGGAACACATATTTCATGCCTTTACCATAAATACATGTGAAAGAGAATGTGCAGGTTTCAGTTTCATTTAGAATATTTATTTATTTATTTATTTATTTATTTATTTATTTATTTATTTATTTATTATCAAATAGCTGCCCATCTCACCATAACTTGGTGGGCAGTGCACCTCAATTAGATCAAAAGATATAAAAGCAACATATACAAAAATATAAAAATCTATATTTTTATCTATATAAAAGAAATAGTCATTATACAAAACAAATATTCAAACCCTAGGTGAAGAGAAGAGAGGAATGAAGGAGCTATCTAAGCAGATATCTGGTTTCCTTGGAGCCTCAGGTCTTGAGGGATCAAAAGGGAAGGAGTTAATCTAATTCCAGACAGGAAAATATTCCCTAAAGTGGATGCCATAGCAGAGAAATCATTTCTCCTGGAACCCACCAAATGTAGCATAGGCCTCTAACTGATAGTACTTACAGCATGCTTTCTCTGCCAGACATAATAGGACAGGCTAATATAACCAGTAATCCCTCAAATAGCCTGGTCCCATGCCATGAAGGCTTTTAAAGGTTGAAAAGAGCACCTTGAATTGGATACAGAAGCAAACCAGTAACCAATATACAGAGCAAAGATGTAACGGGCTTGTTCTAAAGTGCACCACTGCATTTTGTAGAAGTTAAAGCTTCTGGATACTCTTCAAGAGTAGCCCCATATAGACTGCATTGCTGTAGTCCAATCTGGAGCTGACTAGGGCATGAGCAGGGGTGAAAGCTCCCGATTTGGACCGGATCAGGTGATCCGGTAGCGATTGTGGCAGGTGGTTCGGTACAAGGCTCTGCCCACCCACCCGGGTGCTGTTACTTACATGCTTTTTACCCTCTGCGTATGCGCAGGTTTTGCGCATGCACAGAGGGTCTGCACACAGGGCGTGCAATTCCGAACCGGTAAGGAAGGTAAGTAGATTTCACCCCTGGGCATGAGTAATAGTAAGAAAGAAAACCTTTTTTTTTTTTTTTTTTGCTGCCTAGATAGTACTCTTAGAATTATTTTTTTCTAAAATTTAGTTAACAATGGCAAATTGATTTTTTGCTAACTTTCAATCAAGAATGTTAAACTTCTTTTGGTCTAATGCATCATTACAAGTTCTTAATCCTTACATTCAAATAAAAATCCATAGGGAGAAAATTACTGTAACATCACATGTGACATTAGTTATGTCAACAATCTTGCATATGTCCTTTTTTTTAAACAGAGGTAAAGATGTTCTATTTTATTAAATATACTTATAATATTACTTTAGATCAAAGATGCAAATAGTCCAACATTCTGCATTTCAGATGATCTAGTAAGCATATAAACAACAATGACAAGTATACACAGTGTTTTGTTCTGCAATTGGTAAACAAAAATATATATTTCTCACTGGGCTCCAAGTTTGAAACAATGATATTTTATTATTTTGGCAGACCGGCTAAAAGATTTGTATAAATCATCAATATGGTGAAAAATGCTGGTCTAGGAGTATATTTATGTTGATAGCTCAGTCATTGCAAACTCTTATATTTCTTGCAATTCAACTGCTAAGTAAACATGACACTTAAGGTTATGAAATTTAAATCCAGCTGAGCTAAAGAAGCTTCTCTTGTAGACAAAACACAATTTTTATTTTAAATAACAATGTAATTCTACCACAAACAAATGTCTACAAAATGTACAATATTATAATGGCATATTAGGTCAGCGATATTGTTTTCTCTTGTCAGCTATTCAGGACATTATAATAACTTTACCTGCACGCATCTTTCAAATGAATCTAGTAAAGTTACTTCTATTCGGTATCCTGCTATTTCTATATAAGAGTTATGAAGGGTTTCTGGTTAAATGCCACCCTTGTCTTATGAGTGGAATACCAGGAATCAATCTTTTAATGCAAGTAAAGTAAAAAATATGAACATAGTTTCAACAAAGGATTTAAAATGCAGACAATTATGCATAGAAAGGTAAACAAGACATGCCTGAAGTATACCTAATGCATGCTCAAAGACGCCATTAGAATATTGCACATTTCACATTAAAATATAATCATATACACACAGAGAGAGATCACTAATGGAGCTAAATTCTCTACTTTTTGCATTATTAATGTCCCTTTTAAAAGTTGTACTTTCTTTGGAATACTTTTGAAGAAATAATGTCTTCTTTACATGGTGTATAATAATATAGTGAACTTAGTGACTTCTTGCTATAATCTACCAGCTGAATCATTATAGCTCAGTCCTCAGAGAGAAAAAGTAACTACGTTTAATCATTAAATTTTTGGGGAATTGCTTCATAATTATTAGGGATATTAATAATGGAAGAGACAGACATTTGTTTCTGCTCAATTCTCTTGTCATTTATTTTTATTGTGACATTGGGAAGACATTTACCCAGTCTACAAAATACTTTTTGGAAATGAAATGTACTTAATTATTAATGGATTTTTCCCCCTCCAAAATCACAGAGTTGTATGGGAGCAAGTCACCAGATTAGGACTGGGAAAATAGAATGTAAAAGTTGCCGCGGGCCCTAATATCATAATGGCAGTCCACACTATAATGATCAGATATATTGATATTCTACAACAGTTTCTACCTTAAACCTCAAATCACTCTTCCAATTATTTATTACTTAACAAAAATGGTTTTCAAAGCCCAAAACAATTGCAACTTTCACAAATATTTTTTTACAAAAATAAACACAATTCATTCTTAATAGAATAATGAGCAAATTTTATAATATTGAATTGTGTAATATGCAAAAATGCTGTCTTTTTAATATTGTTACAAATGACAATTTAAAGTTCAAATACTATAGTGCAGAACTAATTATGAAGCCACAATTACGAACCCTTATGAACCTTTATTTAAAAATAATCAGCCTAATATTTGATAAACTTTATTTTGTAATTAGTGTTTTTTAATGGATTTTGGTTAGCGATTTTTTTCTTGACATCTTTCGCTGTCAGTGATGACTTTCAATTGGGAAGAATACATTGTCCTATGTAATGTGTTCATTTATTCATAAAATGCCACTAGTAGAGAAGAAGTAGGAAGAAAAACTAAAAGTCATCCTGAAGCAGCAGGAACAGATAACAAGTTGGCCCACCCCATTATTTTGTTACCTAGAGCTATATGTCAAATTATTCCAAGAAAACCAGAATATGGCATTGAAGTGCTCTTGCAGATAAAGTGTGAGAGAGATCTGCTTAATAATAAATCTTGAACAATGGCAGAATTCCTTTGAGTAATTTACACACAAAAATTCCTGCCAGTGAAATGTTATCTTTTCATAACAATGATCTGTTGGCCCAGCCAACAGTCAAGGAGCTTCTTAAAAATATTATCCTGAGCTGATACTTATTTGCCAGATATGTTTGTATGGTTTACTTTTAGAGGAAAAAAAATAGCACATATTTCAAAGGTTTTAGTGTGTGTTAGGAGAAGGGTTCTGTGTTTGTAGACAAAACAGCAGCACATTGATGTACATAATGTCTCTAATTGTATGTACTTTTGTAAATACATACAAATTAACTGTAAATGTGAGTGGAAAAATTGCAAAAGAATTCAATGTACTCATGTTTATATGTGTTCTATAAAATTATAGTGCAGTCATATTTTGCATGCTTGTCTCTGAATCTTAAAAAGGATATTGAAAGGTTAAAGCAATGGTTCTCAACCTTCCTAATGCCGCGACCCTTTAATACAGTTCCTCATGTTGTGGTGACCCCCAACCATAAAATTATTCCTAAAACCATTGAAAATATGTGTTTTCCGATGGTCTTAGGCGACCCCTGTGAAAGGGTCGTTCGACCCCCAAAGGGGTCCCGACCCACAGGTTGAGAACCACTGGGTTAAAGCAACTCCCCTATGAAGACTGCTTTCAATATTTTGGGCTTTTCAGCCCAAAACAACATTTAGCAAAGGAGAACATAGTAAAGTTATATTAAACCCTACACTTTCTGTGGGAAAAAGTAAGTGTCAATCTGCTGAAACACAATGGTGGAAGATTCAGGACAAATTGTAGTACAAATTAGTACTTTTGGGATGCAATAATAATTGCATCCCAACAAGTTACTATTGAGTTATTATTGAGTTTGTGTATTTCGTTAATTCACATATTATTATTAGCCATGCATTTCAAATTGCATTGTTTATTAGAAACCAGCATTGTGCAGAGACAACAAAACAGGACTTAGAAACCTCAAGGTTTGTAAATGGCTCTTCCTCCCTCCCTCCCTCCCTCTCTCTCCCTGCAAAAATAAGAAAGAGGTAAAGAATGGAATGGAGTATTGAGAAAGGACAAGGCTGGCTGATTATATGAGACCACAGCATTGGATCCTCTAACACACAACACCCACATGCATACCTTGGTTTATAATTTACATCAAACCAAGACCCGGCCTTATATTTGTTAGGAGGGCTTAGAAGGCTCTGTAGTAAAGTGTTATTTAGGCTTGAGATGACCACCACCCACAACCTTAGAAAGGTTGGAGAGTGAATGTGAATTGTCCAGGACCATTGAGTCCAGTTATATCTTTTTGAGGAGTCTCCTTTGGTGCTGTGTCTCACAAACAAGTCACTGAGCTAACAGACTGGAGAACCCTCTCTACTTCCTTAAAAGTCACAGGATCAAGCTCGTCCCAAAAGTCAGGGTCCTGTCCTGTGCACAGCTGGAGAGTCCAACTCTGAGCAAATCCAAGTGATATTATCTACCAGATACTAAGAATGTTCCTTACACTGGAAATGGTCCTGGGGCTGATCACTCCCCAGCAGGGTTCAGGTCACATAAGTAGGGTTGCCATGCAGCCACCAGCAGATTCTGTAAAACAGAAAATCAAGTAAGGTTTCCACCCTTATTGCCCTGATGTAATTTCTAAAACAGATTCTTACTCACATTGAATTCAATTTACTCTTTAGTAACTCTTTCTCCAAGAGTGCTCTAGGCATCTTTTCCTGTTCTTCATTTCCCAGAAGACCTAAAACTCAAGAGGGAACAATCAAGAAGAGAACCTCTCTCTTTCCTGGCCCTCCCAGGTTTTGGTAGTGCAAGCAAGGTTGACTGCTTCATACATATCATAGATAAGGATATATTTATTACAAGTCAACCTAGCAAACAACAGCAACAACCAAAGCCTAAAGCCACCAAGAATCTCATAACTTAGCCCTGTAGGGAACTCCTGCAGATTGGACAATATATCACTGTTAAACAATGAACCCAATTTATCCAATAGCGGCCTGGCCTCAAGATGTCCCTTTACCTGGCATGGTCCTGATATTCCAGCCTGCCACCCGCATTCCCCCCTCCCCATCTCTCCCAGCTCTTATTCTCCTTCCCTGGCCAAGGCATCTATTTATCCCACCCAGTTCCTGGTTAACATAAATCAATGGTTCACTGAGAAGGCTTTGACCTCCCTTCACTTGTAGATGATACCATCTGCATAACTTGTAAGGAGATTTTGTAAGTTCCCTGTTGAACAAAGCCTCTGTCCTTGTAGCATTGGTCAAATGGAGGATGTTATTTATTATGTCTGCCTCATTTACAATGAGATCAGCACCAAATTATTAATGGCAGATAAACTCAAAGGTTCCGACCTTGAAAAATTGAATTATAGCCTTGCAGATGTGTTTTTAATTATCAGCAACCAAGTTGCTACTTTTGTTCTGCTGTCATTTAAAGTTAGGGGAAAAAATACTTGACTTTTTAGTTGTAGCTTTGGCTTTCTTTTGTTGTAAGCTTTTTATATTTAATACTTCTATTACTCTATTTCATAACTATTATATTGTTATTTTATTATATTTTATGGCATTCCTGTGTTATGACTTGTGGTTACAACAATAAACTTAATCACTTACTTATTCGTCTCACCCAGTTATACTTACCTGATATACATTCATACTTTTTTCTCACATTCACTTTGGGCCTTCAGGGAAACATAACAACTCTACTTCAGCCCAACTGTCTACAGTATTCGACAGGAATGGAAGACAGTTGCTATAACAAGTCACTTGTACTCCTCATCCCCACCCCCCACCCAATCTAATAATAGAGGAATAGATGAAGCTGCTTGGAAGGCTAAAGTATTCAGCTCCACACTGAGTACTTTAGCACACAATATAGAACCCATGGAGTGTAGGGAACTCCATGGGTTCTATATTAGGTACCAGCTATCTTTCAGGAGAAGAGCCATCTTGATTTGGTGCTTAAGGCACTAGGCTAGAAACCAGGAGATCATGAGTTCTAGTCCTGCTTGAAGCCCAAGTCCAGACACTCTCTCTTAGCCTTAGGAAGCAGGCAATGGCAAATCATTTCTCAAATCTTGCCAAAAAGAAAACAAACAAACAAATCCACGAGTTAATATTGACACAGGCAGGCAGGCAATTGTTAATGCTTGAAAGGCCCATGTAGGTCACCGAGTCCGTTCTGGCTCAGCACCAGAGCCCATTTTAAGCATTATTTTTTAACCTTTTTTTTTTTTTTTTGGCAATCTAATCTTACACTTGAATATCTGAAAGAGGATTTTGTGTTGATTTTATTCCTTTTGAATTTTATATGGTTACTGCTGATTATTATATTCACCTTCATTGTTTTCTTTATTAATAAAATTGACATAAAATGGAGATAAATCTGAATTTTCTAGGTATCGACTCCACTGGCTGATTTTTTAAAAAAATTACATGCTTGTTTTCTCTTAAAATGCATAGGTGAATTTGCTTGATATAGAAAATATTCTGAGTGAGAAAGAAGTGATAAAAATGCTTTTATTATATATGTCATTGTTTTGTTATGTGTTAGCTCATCAACTTTCTATTACAGAACATAATTTTTGTTTTAGCATACCTAGGTATTCTGTTTCTGCCAAAAGGAGATTATTTTCTATCCTTTATCAGTTTCAGAGTGGTCTTTGATATGATTCCTGTGAGCAACTGCAGAATATGCTAAAAGCTATGCATCACTTAATAAATTCAGCTCAGTAAACAAATATTTCATGCAAATTCAGCACAGTGTAAGAAATCATCTATCACATTCTAGTAGCACTTGAGGGGGAGGCTATATTTTTCTTGTTTAATTTTGATCTTAACATTTCTTCAACTTGAATATCAAATATCTTGATTCCATCCACACATACCCCAAATTCTAAATACCAAAAGAAGAGTCTTAATAAAAATTAGAAGAACTAATTTTGATCCAATAGCTGATTAATTTCATTCCATTTTGAAGATATTTTTATTCTTCTTTCTGTTTCTATTTTTCTAATCAGCTATAAATTATCTTCAAATATATTATGAAATTGACCAGTCCTTCTCTTCATGGACTAAGTCCCTCCCAAATCTGTTATTCTGTTATTCTGACTAATATCTACATAATTATTTTTCTATCACTGGAAAAGGAATCAAATATACACATTTAGGACATACATTGTATTCAAAATTATAGTTGATTATAAATTATCACTATATGATTAAGAAAAGTATATAAAGAAGAATCAATACAAGCATCTTTTCATATCATAGGAAGCAGTGGTGGGTTGACCCCAGTTCGCACCGGTTCTATAGAGCCGGTAGTAAAACTGGCAGGAGGCCCCGCCCACTGACCCTGACGTCACAAAAACGCTTCTGCGCATATCCAGAAGAGCGTGCATGCGAGCGAGCGAAGCGAGTGTGCGCGCTCGGCCCCATTGTGAACCGGTAGTAAAGGTAAGTAGAACACACCCCTGTTAGGAAGTAAATAGTTTCATTCTCCATTGATCAGAAACGAACTCAAATAATATGTCTAAGTTCTGGATATCACAATCTAAAAAGTGATGCTTAAATATGGAATTTTTGAATACATAAATTAGCCACATGAATATCACATTTAATGGCAATATTACATAATCCTTGTTTTAAGCATGACAATGTATATCAATTTTAAAAACCTATTTATTTATTATTAGATTGCTATGCTGTACAGCTCACCAAGGTGACATACTTGTAGGGTAGTAGGGTAGTTAGAGAATAAAAATATATTCATAACCTAATATATAAATTTTCAGTATTGAACAACAAACTGCTGATTTGGGAAAGATTCAGTAAACATTTTTCTTAGTTTGGAAACTGTTAAATTTGTTTTAAAGCTTACACTCCAACTTTATTTTTTCCTCTCATTTCCTAATGGAAGTTTTGCCACCAGTTTTCAAAACTAGAATCAGATATACATTTGGCTACTGAAAATGGCCCTTCAAGCTTCCGTTGCCCACAGTTGCCTTGTACCGCAAATACAGTATTGAAAAGATAAATATCTTAGCAACCACTGGAAAGCATGCTATCCAATTACACTCTATGTTCCTTCCAAATAAAGGACAGTACACTAAAAGTTACTTTGGGGAAATAATTTGGACTAAGGCCATCATATAATAGACATAATTTTAATCTGTTTACCCATGAAAAGTTTAATTATGAGAAACTTATATTTAAAAAATCAGGTTTTGGGGTAAACTGTACCTCTTATTATTACTTTGATCAACTTAGCTCTGAGGAAGCTGCTTTTAAAACTTTTGCAAAAAATAAAATAAAATAAAATGAGTTTCATTTACCTCAGAATGCTTTTGGCAGTTTATTCAATTTAAACACTTGTTATTTGGTTTATTTGCTCCAGATGCAGTTGCTGTGTCTGAAACTCTAGAGTGGTTAGATGTTGGATGAATTAGGATGAATTAGATGTGCCTCTTAAAGTAGTAATCCTTCTTTATCCTTCAGATAGTTTGTGCTGACATCAACACCTTAGATCAATTACTCTGTTAAGGATGCATTTTTTCCTCAAATTAAATCTTTCTTACAGTTATAGACCAAGATATGGATTTCTTCTTTCTGGCTATCTTATTAATGTTTGGGTCTAGCTGATAAAAGTATTGAATAATGTGAATTTTTCAGATCTGAGGCTTTTCTAAAGGAAGGAATGAAAACTCTGGTGCTGATTGGAAGCAATGCATTGTCACTATATGTTATTTGCCCGCATTTGGATTAGAGGTGTGTGTGTGTGTGTGTGTGTGTGTGTGTCTATATATATATATATATATATATTTCCCATGTAAGATTGAGAGTATCTTGGCAACGTTTCAATGAGGTCCCACTTGTCATCTTCAGGCTGGTGTCTTTGGCTTCGTGCTTGTGCACTAACAAAGCCAGCACTCCACACCTCCCCACCAGTATTTATAGAGAGATGGCATCTCCAATCACGCTTTTCTCGCACAAGCACGAAGCCGAAGACACCAGCCTGAAGATGACGAGTGGGACCTCATCGAAACATCGTCAAGATACTTTCAATCTTACATGGGAAAAGACCCGAATACGCCAAGATTTGCATAACTGTACCCGTGAAAATCTACGAAAACAAAAGTAAAGTGACTTTCAAGTACTTTGCTGAAGTTTTTGAAGTTGTTCTGTTTATATTATAATTTTCAGACCTATTTTCCTCCTTTTTACTCTTCCTCATTAGTTCTTAAAATTAGAACCATAGAAACTGTAACATTCCATCACATGAACCCAATTACATATTTGAGAAATAATCAGGTCCATACCAAGATCTGAATCTTGCCGAAAGGGATCTAAATAATCCACTCCTTCCTGTGCAACCATGTTGTCCACAAACTTACTCAAAAAGGACTGTCTAGAGAACAGTTGGAAACCACCCCTTTTCTCAAAGAGGAACTCACCAATTACAAGTCCCAACCACACATCTCTTCCCAGGATGGATCTAAATGGGCATGGATCTGAAAAAGGTGGCTGCAATAACCTTGTCCACTCGTAATTCTGCACCAAGTATATAATGAAAACTGACCA